TCATTTTGTAAGATAAAGATTTTTTTTTTATTAAAATTTTTTTTAAATTAATTTAATTTCTTTTTATTTTATGTATTTTTATAGTAAATAAATTTAAATTAATCTAAATAAACTCTACTTTGTCTTATTGTGGTAATCAAAAAGTACCCATTAATTTTACATACTGCTTGTACGATGGGTTAGTTCTTTAACCGTTCATATGAGCAGAGGGGAAAAACAACCAGGCATTAATTTCTTAATTTTAAGGTGAAAATATGTTTGAGGAACTTGTTTGATATGAGTATAGTCTATTTATGATGAATTTAATTTTTCTTGTTTATATGCAGTCGTCAGCAGTGGCAAAATGATAAGATTTTGCAACCTAAGCTTTCATGGTATGGCAGATCTGATCAAGGCCATATCACAAGTCTGGTCGCATGATTCATATATTTTTAAACAATAATATAAAAGACATATCAGCACAGATTTAGAGCAGTTTGACTTGATTTTCTAATGTTTATGTTTATACAAGACAACTATGCACATTTTGTCCAGCATTAGAAAACTACACAAAATGTCTCCTTTTCAGCAATATGACCCTGTGCAGCAACAGCTATGAGTTATGGCATCTGGGACAATTCACTCTCTGGGACAGATCCCCCTGATAACTGCATTCATATTTAAAGAAATGAGCGGGGTGACAAAGACAAAACATCTTTACCGCTGTAAAATGCTATTTGTTTAATTTACGTTTAAAATGTGAGTAAATCCATTGTGTTTAATGCAATTAGTTATCTGAACTTAAAAAGTGAGTAAGCCTATTAAAATTCTTAAAATTAATTTTAGGTAATTAATCACTTTTTACAATCCAGTGTGAAGTCTCAGTCTGTTAGCAATGCATAAAGAGACAAAGTCATGATACTGGGCTGTGTTGCTGTGACTCAGCAATTGCATAATGTGTTTGTAGATTTGACTTTCAGACCTGCTAACCTTTATTTTTAGATAAGTAATACCAGAATTACATCTAATTTCATTTGTGTACATCATCCGTTTGTGAAAAGTATGCTTAAATATGTTATGTGTTATAGAAACAAAGTGCTTACTAGGGTTTTGAGAAAAATGTGAATCTCAACATTATAATTTTGAATAATTATTATCTAATTATTCAGTAAAATGAGTGGCAGCATAAATAATAAACCATCTGATGCTGCTTTTATGTGTTTATGATCAATGCATGTAATAATTAAGGATAAAAGGATATAATATATTAATATTATATAATATATATAATATTCAATATATAATATTCATACACTTGCAAATCATTGGTGTTGATGTAATAGTTAAGAATGTATTTTAAGTTATTTATTATCAAAGATTATGAAGTTATTTATTGCAAACTAGTTTTCTTTAAACTCATGGAATCTCCTTAAAGCAGAGTTTTATTTATTCATTCATTTATTTATTTATTTATTTATTTATAAATGTATTTATTTGTTAATCACTTAACCACTGAGATACAATATATCCTCTATCAAGGAGTCTTGGTCAAAAAAAAAATGCAACTATAAAACTTGTAAAAAATAAGAGACAGTAAAGATGCCATATAATTTAAAAGCAAAGTTTATTAAAATATAAGTTTACTCACATTCACTTATTCTCAAATGGTTTCAAAATGTTTTTTATTATGTTAAGCACAAAAGATATATTTTGAAGAATGTTGTAAACTCATAGTTATTCACAACCATTGTATGAAAAATACTATACAACACAATGGGTACTGGTTAACAATTTTTTTACTGTCAATCTTATTTTGTGTTGAACTGTAGAAAGAAAGTCAAAGAAGTTTGGAACAAGTGGAGAATAAGTAAATGATGATAAAAGTTAGGTTTTGGGTGAACTTTCCTTTAAAATGTGATGAGAGAAGAAATGTTTTGCATTTTGACATTAAAAAGGAGCGATTGTGTGTGTACTATAAAATATTACTTGTAAAATGTTTACTTTCCAACTAAAATTAGACTTGAAATTTCTTTAATCTTTCTGTTTCTTTACAGTACATGTTTTTCTTTATATCAGAATATTTCTAGTACTATTTAAAACAGACACATTTTACAGTGCATCCAGAATGTATTCATAGCGCTTCACTTTTTTCGCATTTTTTATGTTAGAGCCATATTCCAAAATTTATTACATTTATTTACTCAAAATTCTACACACAATACCCTATAATGACAATGTGAAAAAAGCTTTGTGAAAAAAGCATGGCAAATGAAAAAAATTTTTTTTTCTAATTAATTTAAATAATTTTTTTTTATACCTAATACCATCCCTACAGTGAAGCAAGGTGGTGGCAGCATCATGCTGTGGGGATGTTTTTTAGCAATGTACAGAGACATCCTGAATGAAAACCTGCTTCAGAGCGCTCTTGATCTCAGACTTGGGCGACTGTTCATCTTCCAGCAGGACAATGACCCAAAGCACACCGCCAAAATATCAATGGGGTGCCATCACAACAACTATTCAATCCTATTGAACATCTCTAGAGAGATCTGTAAATGGCTGTACACCGTCGCTTTCCATCCAACCTGATAGAGCTTGAGAGGTACTGCAAAGAGGAATGAGCAAAAATTCCCAAACACAGCTGTGCCAAGCTTGTGGCATCATATTCAAAAAGACTTGAGGCTGTAATTGCAGCCAAAGGTGCATCAACAAAATATTGAGCAAAGGCTGTGAATATTTATGTACTGTACATGTGATCTTTTACGTTTTTTATTTTTGATAAATTTGCAACAATTTCAAAAAATATTTTTTTCACATTGTCATTATGGGGTATTGTGTGTAGAATCCTGAGGAAATTAATGAATTTAATCCATTTTGGAATAAGGCTATAACATAACAAAATGTAGAAAAAGTGAAGCGCTATGACTTTCCAGATGCACTGTAGTTAATGAAAATAACATACTATAATAAAAAGGTACCAAAGACTCTTGCAAATATAAAACAGATCCCATAACAAAGGATCATTAATTCATCTGTACTGAATTTTGAAACCCTATCTCAGTTTACAAAATGCTTTGATTAATAAGCTGTATAGAAACTACTGTAGGCTGGATAGACACTCGACAGATGCAGGACGATTTAGAGATGAAAAATGGTCGATGAACTCTGAATATTTATCAAACCTAAGAGTAACATTTGATTTAAATTTATAGATTAGCTTCCGCTTGCAGGTGTACAAGATGTAATAAAACTTATTAGTCAAAATAAAAACAAGATTGTATACATAGTGTAGGGTCCAGCCAGTTGGTCCAATGACGGTATCCAATGGTGGATGAAGGTTCACTGCATGTTCGGTCTTTCCAGTGCACAATGTTGATTTATATTAAACTTAACTCATATCTGACTCCAATTTTAGTATGAGATGGTTTAGAATATTAATATGTTTATCCTCGTTTTATCTGACTCCAATTATAAAACATTGATAAGATTATTTTGTTTCCTTTCACATTATTTTAGATTATGATTGAATATTCTTTTGATTTGTTATTATACCTTATTTTCATTTACTCAGATTCCGATAGCATCTCGAGTCTTGCACCGGCCGGGTATAAAATCTCTTACTACAAGCTTGTCAGTCTTGGTCATTAAACAGAGGCGATTAACCACTCTCCTAAGAAGGCAGAACACTACTTACTCAATTTAGGAGATTTTTATGTGGTCCCCATAGATCTGTTATCTACTAATTCAAGACAGAGTATTTTAATAATAATCGCGCAGGATTATACTATTGTAGATGAAGGCCTAAATATCCACATTTAAAGTAGTTTCAACAATATTTTGTTGTTCTAAATAGTTGGCCTTTTACAGTCCAAGTATACATGAAATAATGCCAATTTGTTAGTCGGATCTCTAACAACATTGTTTAGCGTGCCACGCTGCTCCGTCTAACATGTTTTAGTCCGTTACTAACCTGTACAGTGGCTTGTAGTGCTATGGACAACAACATTTATCAGTGATAATAACACGAACTCTGTTTGAATCATTCAAAACATAACAATTTATTAGTCAGGTAAATGTATTATGCCAATTCAATCAGTCAATTCATAAATGATCAATACAAAACATCAAATTATCAAAGATAAATCCAAGATGAAAAAGATGCATTCCTGACTTTGAAATATACATAACATGGGGCAGACCCCATGTTATGGGCTGATCTGGTTAGGCAGAATCGCCCTGAGTTTTTCTCAACCCTTACCTTAAATAATCCAAGAATTCCCTCAAGGAAGGGGGTGTGAATGTATAACAAAAGGCATTCACACTTAGTGTCACACCCCTCACAGTGGTTCAAAAGATGCCTGAAGTTATATATTTATTGTTCTGATTATGTCTATTTCTGAGAGAATGAGACCATTGTACCAATCGCACTGAGACATTTCAAATGATATCAAACATGATAGTAAAAGTCAGTTTGGTTAATTCTAGAACATTCAAACATTGAAATGACCATATGTGTGAGTTGGGGGGATGAAGCAGACTCAGATGCAAATGCAGCAGGAACTGGTTTTTCCCGCATTCCGCTTGCTGAGTTGTGAAGTTACCAGTCTCTGTTTTCAGCTCATGTTTTGAATTGTCAAAGATATCAGAATATTTGCAATATTTCAATTCTTACAATAGCTTCTTGGCACTAGTGTGTCCTGCAAAGATTTTTATACTGCAATCTTCCATATAAATAAAGTTGTTATTCTTTATAGACCAGACAAAATTAATTAATATCTATTAAATGAGAAAAGCAGGTTCACACACAACCTCCATAAACTACCCTCTAATGCACCTTCAGTTCGTTGAAAAACTGAAAAATGACAAGTAAATTCAGCCAGAAATGTTTATTCATCAGATTCACAAGGTGACCAAGTCAGTGCACATTCAACAAGCAAGGCATCAGCTGACTAATCAAAGAAGGCAGGATCTTAAACATGAAGCCTCTAAATGTTAACCTCAAAGATTTTACTGCGGGACAACATGGTTTCATGATTTATGCATAGAGTACAACTGGAGGCTTTGGAGGATGCAGATGATCAGAGTTTAGCTGTCCAGGGTGTGCTTGTCAAACAGGTACTCCGCCATCCTGTTGTTTCCAGCATCCATCTTGGAGAGGTTAGTGATGTGGTCACCAAGCTTCTTGATGGCCTCAACCTGCTCATTCAGGTAGTGAGTCTCCAGGAAATCACACAGCTGTTGGACAAGACATCAGAAGAGAATTTAGGACAACATGTTCACAGAACCACTTCAAATGGACATATACATACAGGCAAATTTTGGGTCACTCACATGAGGGTCTCCCATCTCAGTGGCGAGCTTATGCAGGTCCAGCAGAGCCTGGTTGACGTTCTTCTCCAGCTGAAGAGCACACTGCATAGCAATCAGCCCATTTCCCCACACATCACGATCAGGCTTCTGAAGAGCAAATACAAGATCAGTGAGCAAGTTAAGACCCTTCCTAAACAACAGAACAGTGTCTAGAGTTGTTGATGTTACATTGCTTTAAATAATACATGACAGGAAAAGCACCTTGATGTCCTGAAGGACAATGCGTCCACCTCTCTTGTTCTGGAACTCCATGAATTTCTCAGCATGTTCGCGCTCCTCCTCACTGTTCTTCTTGAAGAACTTGGCAAATCCAGGAAGAGCCACATCGTCCCGTTTAAAATAGTGAGCCTGTGCACAATCAGAGATAGGAATAAGAATTGATGTTATTATACATGTTTAACTACAAGGCTTTTCATCAAGGACAGTTTATTTTAACATGTGGATGACAAAAAGTCAAAACAACCACAGAACAAGATCTGCAGCTATAACCATTTACAGGATGATATAATAAAATAAATTGCATCACAGCTCATGGCATTTAAACTTGTACGTTTTTTGAAGCTATATGTTTTTTTTTTTTTTATATTGTTATAACCAGTGTTGAGTATAATGAAGTTTTAGTCTGAAAAGGGAAAACATGTAACAACTGATCATATGTATAGTAATTTAATTACAGCTATTTTTAATGTACTTACCTTACAAATCAATGTAAAATGTTTTGTAAATTAATTAGTTAATTACTTTTCGAATAACAATCCAAAGTGGTAGACAACCTAAATTTACTGTATATAAGCTACTTTCCTTATTGATTATTTTTAGAGCTTATTTTATTGTTTTAGCCTTTTTATACTGAAGTATCAAGAAAGGAAAACAATAGACTATTCAACAGATAAATAACTCGCCGACACGGTTCTGTTTAAATAGACTGAATGATAAACACTTGCCATGGAGGTGTAGGTGTATCCAGCGTAAAGCTCCAGATTGATCATCTTGTTGATCGCAGCCTCGCAGTCGCGGACGTAGTTCTGGCGAATCTGAGAAGTCTCCATCTCGGCAGGTTTTACTATATAGATACTTGTACAAAATAAATAAATAAATAGAGCTAGAATTAATTCAAGCGAGATCGAAGTTCCGTTCAATCACTGTTGAAGCAAGAACCTATCCAGATCTTCCTGAAGCTGTGAGTGAACTGAAGGAGCGCGTTCATCTTTTATACGCTCACAACATGATGCGTCAGTGGAACTGAAACCAGCCAATCAAACAACGAGCTGAGTAACAGAGTGACGATGCAATTACTTGGATAGCTAAAACACGATCAGCTTTCGTGATTAATTCTTTTTAGTCTTTTCTTTTTTACAATAAATATCGTACTGTATCAAACAGGTTATTTGTACTATTTAATTATTATGATCGTTTTATGTGTAATTAAGCTATGCAGTCATGTTTTATTTTTTAATGTTTAATTCCTAAAATAAACAGTATGTTTACACTACAACACAAATGGGGAAAAAATATTCTCCAAAGTTGATTGTCAAAAAATATTATCAATGAAACGCTGCATTACAAAAACCCATGTTAATGATGCTGCGCCTGCCTGGTAAAACCTTCTCAGTGAACGACAAGTGCAACGTCCCAAGGGCCGATATGGAGCTGCGTCTCTGTGAGTCAGCATTTTCTCTCTCGAGGAAGATGCGGGTATGTTTGTAACCTGATCAACTTGCTAGGATAAGCTATCATAAAAAAGAAAACAGTTACTTTTTATAACTGTATAGCCTACTATATTTCTGTATACACTTCCACTTTTAACTGTGCAACGTTATTATTTTAACTAATCTTTATGTGTAAATTCAGCTTCTTCTTTTTTTTTACATCTATTTATTTATTTATTGATAGAGGATCTTGCATTGACCTTTTAATGGTTGTTTTTGAGTTGGTGTGCATGGACACAATGCAATAAAAAGAAACAAAATTATTGTGTTAGCCTATTGCCCTTAAGCATTTTACAATTTTGGCTAACACTTTACAATAGCAGTACATGAAGCATTAATATGTAAATTAAACATGACTTTGTTATGAATCAATGATGAGTTAAGGTATAGCTATTCGCTAATCATGAACTAATCTTAGCTACAACATGAGTCACAAGAGTTATAACTTAATTACTTAATTACTTGTTAGTACATATTGTTAATTAATGTATAAATTAACATTTAAGGCTAAGCTAAATGTAACCAACATAAACTCATGAGCTGTTAATGTATGATTATGTCATGACCAGGGCCAGACAGAATCTGTGGACGTTTTTTGCCATTTCTGCAGAGAATTTTGGTAAAAATCTGCAGATTTCTGTGGAATTATTTTAGAAGCATCATAACTAAAACCAATTAGGTTTACATTATTTGGTAAACAAAACAAGTCTCTCATATAATATATATCTACTAAAAGGCAAAAATGATTACTGTACAAAACTGCATTGTAGATAAATCAGATGGACGTTTTCATATTAGTCAATAATATTACTGTAGTAATTAAAAAAAAACTGAATAAATGTAGATCTACACAAATTTACTCAAGTAAATAAACAGAATTAATGATGGGCAAAAAATCTGTGGAAATCTGCGGAAAATATGTGGTATTTTGCGCGTGCAGATTCCGTGTGGGCCTAGTCATGACTTCACTTGAAGGGGCACATCATCATTAATTTATCCAACTGCTCATGAACTCCTGTGTTTAAACTGATCGTGTTGGTGTTGACAGAACACCTTTCAATTGTTACTCAGTGTAAATGCACTAGACGGACGTGCATAAGGAATTCAAGCAGTTAAGAATGGTTTATTGATAAACCCTTTAAATGCCCTTTAAGTAAAGTCATGACATAACAATACATTAACATATCTTGAGTTCATGATAATTAAATTAAGCATAAACAAATGTGACAATTAATATATTAATTAGCAAACAATCATGTACTAACAAGTAGGTAGCCCTTATTCAGCATGAACTCATGTGACTCATGTTGTAGTTAAAGTTAGTTCATGATTAGCACATACATTAACTCATCATTAATTCATAATAAAGTAATGTTTAGTTTACGTATTAACACATCATTATTCATCTACTGTTATTGTAAGTTTTACCCAATTTTGTTTCAAGAGTTCACTTGTATAGATACTGTATGCTTGACGCTAATAGCAGGTTTGGCATGCTGTCCCGGGAAAGAACCCTGAGCACAGAGATAATTGAGCCCAGGGCTTCTGCTTGCAGGTCAATTAGCATGTAAGGGGTTCGAGATCAGGTCTCAAGAGCTTCCTCTGGTTAAGCAGGAAAAGGAGGATATAAGGTGGAAGGGGAGATTCTTCTAAAACAAAGATAGGGCAGTAGGGTGAAATCAGTCTATTTATTGTAGGCTTGAATCAATCTGAATTATTGCTAATTACAAATGAGAGATCACTCATATCATATGCTCCTCTCTAAATAGTTTAAAAACATTACTTATATTAATTCTTTAAATTTGCTCTAAAAAAATAAGTATCACTGTCATTATGAAACCATGAATGTTGTTATTATATGCATACAGTAGTAACTACAAAACAATGAAATGAAGCGAGCAGCTCTTTCAGATGCCTAAAAACCAGTAATGAATGGATATTAATAAAAGAGTGTAAACAGCACCAACAGTAATGTTGAGAGGTGATGCAGTATCTCGTAACAGTATCAGCATGGCTTGTGATTTCATTAATTATAAATAATGTTCACAGTATAATTGCAAAAAGAAACAGTTAAAGCATTAGCTGTAGTCGTAAACAATATAAATAATGTGCTACATCAGTGTGCTGTTAAAAAGTGAACCTGCAGGAACTTGTAAAACAAACTGTGTGACTAATTCTCACTATTATAGATGTAAGTGGTACATGCTGGCAGATAATGTAATTGGTAAGTTATGTATTTCAATATAATGTTTTTATCTTATCCTGACATTTTATCGTTTATAAGTTATTACAAGTAGATATATTCTTTCATATGTAATCCAAAATATTTATATATCATCACTTTCCTGTTCTTGTCTTGAGAGTCTGCAAATGCATCATGCTTTTTTTTTTTTTTTTTTAGCAGATTGATGAATAACTGTTCTTATTTTAAGAACTGTTCATAGATTTTCCCTGACTTTCCATGATAGATATTTGCTCAAGGTTTTTTTTAGGTGTCAAAACTACATGTATAAGTGTCTAATGAATCTAAAGGGTCATGGTGACCAGTGTCATTTATAAAACTTTGCGTAGAAACCTTCTTGCAAGTGCACGTACGGCAGAATACATATTTTTTTCATATATTAAGGATTATGGCTCATATGATGATTTTAAATTGATTCAATTGATTGAATTTTTTTTTGTTACATATGTTTACTTAGAGTTTACTTACAGGTCCACACATTTTTCTGTCATGTTAGTTTTTTATAGATCACAACCTTTGTGTGGAAAATGGCGCATACGCACATACTGTAATTATATATGGGACCGCTGAACTTAATTTCCACTCTATAGGGACATATATAGGGGTAGATAAGGTTGTGACATAATTCATAATCCTATTCTGTTTTAACTCACCGGATGAGACATCTGATTGCATACTCGGAAGGATATGTGCCAATATAAACTCAGGACAATTCCTCAGTCCTTCTTCTTTGCTTTTTGACATGCGTTGCTTCAAAGGCTTTTTCCATTTACATTATAAGAGTTGGTTATACTCTTTACCCAGATCTTTTATCTTCAATCTTTTATTTATTTAGCAAATTTGGCAACTGATAATTTTATCACTTACTTATTTTGCACTTGCATCTGTGACGGAGATCAGCTAGTGAAGTGCTATGCAGGTAAACCTCACTCCTCTGACTTCAATAGGTGCTCTAGCGACAGGCACTATAGGGCATGGTCTTTCTTGTTAAAGAAACTGACTCCTATACAAATAATCGCTGGTTCGATCCCAGCTCAGACCAGGTTGTGTGCAGTAGGACCTGTGGGTTAGACATCAAATTGTAAGATTATAAATGTATTATTGGTTATACCGAATTCTCTTTCTCTTGTGTTACAGTATAGTCAACAAAAGAATTAAAAAGCCGTAAGTAAAGTAGCTTATAGCTTAAAGTTTTTCTTCAGTCATTTGTTGTAACATTGGTGAGGGTTGAACAAATCAATTAATTCAATACAGGGTGTTCCTTCATGTCCCCTCATAGATTTTTTTCATGTATAGAATAACTGAGCCAAGCACCATGTATAATGCAGTTGCACGGGTGTTTATGAATCTGCATGGAACTGACTTGTTCACAACCTCATTACTATAATTTTTAAGTTTAAGGCTGATGTGTCAAGAGTGTGTGGAGCAGGTGTTTCAGTAACAAACACACCCACTGAAGCGAAGCAGGGTTGGGCCTCATCAGTACCTGCCTGGAAAATATCCCTATGGAGACTGCTGTTAGTTTGCTTTTGGAAGTGCTGATGCCAGCAGTGAAAACACTGTATCGTAAAATGACACTTTGAGCATAACTACAGTGTCTCTCTCTCAGAACAAACAATGGACATGGATGTAAATGTAAATGTGTAAATGGATGTTTCTCTGCAGTCCTAATAATCCCCATATGTGACCATCCTGCATTTGAGTCTTCCAAAACAGTGAACTGTAATGAAAGAGAAAGTAAGGATGATTGTAAGTGCATTCACAACCACCCCATAAAATATGTGGCAAACCCAGGGGCCCATTATGTGAAGCATGACCTTGTTTCACATAATGAAGACCATTGTAGCTTCAGACACTGTTTGCAGATTGATGTCCAGTTGCTGAAAACGTTTTAGAGGACCCATTATGGCTCTTTTTAACAAGATATAAAATAAGTCTCTGATGTCCCAGGAGTGTGTATGTAAAGCTTCAGCCCAAAATACCCCAGAAATAATCTGCCCTTTGTATACTTTTGGTCTCTTAATATTCAAACGAGGTTGTGCTTTTTTCAAAATAGGGTGGAGCTCCAAACACCTTTGGCAGATTTAAAACAATTGGTTGTTTTTCACATTTCAAGTGATGTGCAATAATTATGACAATTTTTGGAGTAAATTAAAGAAAAAAAGAGAAGTTCCCAATTCTGAATTTCACTGCACATCCTGGATGTGACAATAAGACTATTGTTCATTCATTCATTCATTCATTCATTCATTCATTCAAGCATTTTCTTTTCGGCTTAGTCCCTTTATTAATCAGGGGTCTCCACAGTAGAATGAACCACCAACGTATCCAGCATTTGTTTTACGCATCGCATGCCCTTCCAGCTACAACACATCTCTTGTAAATATTATTGTTCACAGTTGTAAATAAAAACACAAGTAAATCCAGCCAAAACCAAATGTTTAAAACCACAAGTCCATCCAACCAAAATGTTTATTCTTCAAATTCAGCAAATTCAGTGCAACAAACATGTATTAATGACATTTACTAGAAGTAATCAAATAATGTCTCCAACTTAAGCTAGAGTTTAGCTGTCCAGGGTTTGCTTGTCGAACAGGTACTCCGCCATCCTGTTGTTTCCAGCATCCATCTTGGAGAGGTTAGTGATGTGGTCACCAAGCTTCTTGATGGCCTCAACCTGCTCATTCAGGTAGTGAGACTCCAGGTGATCACACAGCTGTTGGACAAGACATCAGAAGACTATATTGGATGATATCTTCAGAGAATAGTATTCAACTAATAAACTAATTTACAAAGTTACATGGAGGCAAATTTTAGGGGTCACTCACATGAGGGTCTCCCATCTCAGTGGCGAGCTTATGCAGGTCAAGCAGAGCCTGGTTGACGTTCTTCTCCAGCTGAAGAGCACACTGCATAGCAATCAGCCCATTTCCCCACACATCACGATCAGGCTTCTGAAGAGCAAATACAAGATCTGTGAGCAAGTTAAGACCCTTCCTAAACAACAGAACAGTGTCTAGAGTTGCTGATATTACATTGCTGTAAAATAATACATGACAGGAAGAGCACCTTGATGTCCTGAAGGACAATGCGTCCACCTCTCTTGTTCTGGAACTCCATGAATTTCTCAGCATGTTCGCGCTCCTCCTCACTGTTCTTCTTGAAGAACTTTGCTAATCCAGAAAGAGCCACATCGTCCCGTTTGAAGTAGTGAGCCTGTGGAAAAATATTATGAATTGATGTTAATATACGCTTTTCATCAAGGACAGTTCATTTTTGACATGTGGCCGACAAAACTATCCAGTTAAAGTCAAAATGACCACATAACAAGATCTGCAGCCATACCTGTTTACAGGACAGTTCAATAAAACGAATGTGCATCACAGCTCATGGCATTTGGACTTGTATGTTTTTATATTGTTAGAACCAGTGTTGAGTGTAATAAAGGGTTAATATGCATCATATTAATTAAATGACTTATCCCTTGAAAAGGAAAATATGTTCCTTTTTAGGTATAGACTAAACTAATTACAGCTTTTTTTTATGTCGGCTACTTGTTTAAGCCACTACAAATAAATTCAACCGTTTTTTATAAATATATAAATTATTTGTAGCCTATTTTCCAGAAAGAAAAAAAAAAATATTGAGCGTCTGATATAAAAATGGAAAACAATAATCAACAGAAAAAATTAAGCAACTCGCCGAAAAGCGGTTCTGGTCAAACAGACTGTATGAAAAACACTTGCCATGGAGGTGTAGGTGTATGCAGCGTAAAGCTCCAGATTGATCATCTTGTTGATCGCAGCCTCGCAGTCGCGGTCGTAGTTCTGGCGAATCTGACAAGTCTCCATCTCGACAGGTTTTATTATCAAAACGCTTCTACGAAATAAATAAGGAGTGAAATGAAGGAGCGCGTTCCTCTTTTATACACTCACAACATGATGCGTCAGTGGAACTGAAACCAGCCAATCAAACAATGAGCTGAGTAACTAAGTGACGATGCAATTACTTAGATGACAAAAACAAGATCAAGTTCAACACATCGCCGTTTTTGTTCTTCATATTTATTCTTTTTATTCAATTTTTATAGTTAATATCATGGTCAGTCAAACAGGTCACAACTGTACAAACAATATCAAGTCTATCAGTTAATGATCTAATTAAATGTTTATTTTCCTGTTTTGTTAGTGCATCTTTAGTCTGTCTCCATATTATATAAAATACTCATCTGTAATCATCTTGAGTATACACAAAAAAATTAAAGCTTATTACACTTATTAAAAGTTTTTTAAAAACTATTTTAAACCATTAAAAAAAAGGTTTGATAAAGTACTACAGTACAATGTTATTTTAGTGTGGACATGCGGTCAATTTGTCATGAAAATACTATTTATCCACCAAGATCCTTAAGCATCATTTACAATTTAGTAGAATGATCGTTTAAATGCTTCTTTTTTGTTTAGTAGGGAAGACATTTGTAACATTTTATAAAAAAAAAAACACTTGACCATTTATATCTGAAAACAACTAAAAACTAGCTGTCAAATTTCCCTCACTGGATTTTACTTACACTAGAACTTGTGCATTCTGCCATATAGAAGAATGATAGCTGTAAAAACATAAGAGCTTCGTTTTCACTTAGTTTACAGGAATGTAAACGTGTCTAAAAACATGACACCTTACTTAATTTTTTTTTTTTGCAAAGAATTATTTTACATTTGGAAGTAATGTCATTCTTATTAAAAAAAACTTTTCACTTAAACAAAAAATTATTAATCTTAAATCATGCTGAATTGTTGGTTTGTTTACCACATTTAAAGTGCATAATATGGGAGAATTTTTATCTAACTACACAGTTTAAATATTGTAAGGATTATAAATGACAGTGTCTTCTTCACATATGTGCTTGAGTAAAAGTATTATTAGTCAGTTTGAATTGTAATTGAGTCATCAAAACATAATACTTAAGAACAATAATCAAGGAAAAATCATTAAAGTTTCCACCCCGATCATAATAGTGTTCAATTTTGATGTTACAACAAACCACGTTTTACCTACAACAGAAATAGGCAAATTTGAGTATTTTCCAGAGGTAATTGACTTATTTTCTACAAACAAAATACTGCATTACAAAGATCCTGGTAAAGGATTGGGCACCTGGTAACACTATAGCCTCCAGTTTGTGTGAGCAACAAGTGCAACATCCCAGGAGCTGCATCTCTGTGACTCAGCATTTTCTCTCTCATGGAAGGTGTGAGTAGCCTATGTTTGTAACCTATTCAGCTTGCTAAGATACAAGTCTAAAACTTTTAGTTTTAATCACTGTATATGAAATGCATATTATTATGAATAACACTCTTTCATCTAGGACACGTTTTCAGACACTTGGCACCAGTTTTGCACATTTGCACCACTTTCTTACAATCACTCCATGTCTCTTGAAAAGCAATGTACATTTCTGTGTTTGCCAAGTGAGTGGGCTTGACAAACCACCTGTAGAAATACTCTTACCTCTCCATATGCATTGGATACTTTTTTAAAACTCCATCTTACTGACTAAATAAGGAAAAACTAAGTTTATTTTGAATGTACCACAAATCATCAAAACCCGCTCAAGGGTACCTCAAATATTTGGTCGGTGCTCTTTGGGAAAGGGATTCATCAAAACAACAACAAAAATCAGTCCAAGGCGCTCGAAAAATGTGAAAATTTTAAAAAGCCTTTATTTACATAAACCTTAAAAAAAAATTATGGCATATATATTATTTCGGCAAGGAACTGTCTTCATCAGGGTGATCAGATGCGTCTAGAGTATATCTTATGAGTACTACAGTCACATGACTCATTTAAATATCTCAACAACACTCAAACAATATAACAAACAAGGAAACTACCATCATTAATTTAGCATAGATAGAGGGGGACAAACTGTATAAAAATACAGAGACATACACATGCATATATATATATATATATATATATATAAATATATATATATATATATATATATATATATATATATATATATAAATATATATATATATATATATATATGTGTGTGTGTGTGTGTGTGTGTGTATATAATTTAGAACTAGTAAGCAAATATGGACAGATAAAACATTGCATGTACATATATATATATATATATGTTGACATATTCAACAATATATGATGATAATCTGTAAGACATCTATAGAAAGACTGTTTTACAAAAAAGAGGAAAAATCTAATTCGCTATTTAAACCTGGAAATCTAGTTGTTTTTAATATATAGATCCAAAAGGTCTCTCTGTACCACAAATCATGTTGCACTGCTTGCTTTTTCAACCTTACATACCTCTTGTGCACAATGTCTTCCACAATGTTGTTCTGTCTTTTGTCAAAGTAGTCTACTTGCATTGTTGCATAGTATTTATAGTATATGTAATGTTAGTAAATAGTAAGGTAATTTAGATTACTGCTCCAGTATGTTATAGTTATTTATAGGTTATTATAGATTCTACATGTGTTGCGTTTATATTCATGATTGTTTATTTATGTAATATTTCATTCTACTGGATGTCCACAAGGTGACACGGTGGCTCTGTGGTTAGCACTGTCGCCTCTAGCAAGAAGGTCACTGGTTCGAGTCCCGGCTAAGTCAGTTGGCATTTCTGTATGGAGTTTGCACGCTCTCCCTGTGTTCGCGTTGATTTCCTCTGGGTGCTCCGATTTTCCTCACAGTCCATAGAAGACATGTGCTATAGGTGAAATGAATAAACTAAATTGTCTGTAGTGTATGTGTGTGAATAAGTGTGTATTGATGTTTCCCAGTACTGGGTTGCAACTGAAAGGGCATCCACTGTTTAAAACATATGCTAGGTAAGTTGGGGGTTCGTTCCGCTGTGCCGATCCCTGATGAATAAAGCTGAAGGAAAATGAATATGTCCACACATAGTGAAATAACAATAATGGTCATCTTGATTTCATAATTTATTGCACAATATTTACAGATTTTAGGTTTGAATTTTTTGTTAAAGATTGTTTTGAAGTGTGATTTAAACTTTTAGTTGAGACTTTTGGTTTAAATCATTAGTTTATAAGATGCAGCCCGTTACAACCTAGCCTATATGTTTAATCAGCCAGACAAGAATGACAACGAATGACAAAAAAGTTTTTGCTCAAAAACATTCACCCTGTATCAGCAACATGTACCTGTCACTGAGCCTGAACAGTGTTAGTACAAACAAAAATTCATTTTGTCAACACTAACTGGCTACAGGTGGAAGCAGTGGTTCACTAGTCTGTCTTAGCAAGTCTTATGGCCTTTATAAGCTTGAAGTGGATATAAGTATGTATATTTGTTACTTTTTAAAAAAGTTATTCATTTGGATATTGAGTTATACTCCCTAAAAAGCAACTAATTATTTAAAGTATGGTTACGTTTTTCCTCAGCTGAACTGACCACTCTGGGTTATTTAAAAATAAATAAATAGTTATTGTTTTTTTTTTTTTTTTTTTTTTCAAATGTAACATCTCATTCACTCCTAAAGTTAAATAAACAAGCCTCAGGCTGAAGTAGTTGTACATTTAGATCAGTAGAAACAAAACTTTCAGATGTGCTATTACACCACTATTCTACAATAATGAAAAGAAACATGTTAATTTAGTTTAAGTAATTAGTGTTTAATAAACATTCTGAGTTTGCATGTCACTGTTCATTATAC